AACTTTTTAGTGTCATTTGTAATGTTCCGTGAACAATAAATGACGATTTACATCTCTGCATTTGTCAGCTATCTGGTCGCCGGCCCATAATGGTAGCTTAAACTGTCACTGTACGTTTTGGGCAAGGCAATGCATTCTCTACTTGACTCGATTTCTTTCTTGGGGTCACATTAATGCATTTTCCTTCATGTTTAACGTTTAGAGGCCTCTAGTCGTCATGCTTAACGGCATGATGCCTACAAAGATTTACTTTCGTGATTATTAAGTTGTCTTTATGTAGTGCACATACAGCGTTCCGGAGTTGATTGCGATGATCCTTAAAAATTTTTATTTGCACGATAGTGCTCATGTAAAAGGAGTCAGCCTAACTGACAAACGCCAGCATTCTAAATCAACAATTTAACAAACAACCGCAATATATAATGGTTTGTTTGAGTGTACGTTTATAGGTGAGAGGCGGGAACAGACTAGGAACGCGAATCACGGGTGTGAGGCCGGCAAGGGTCTCCCTCTAATTGATATTTCCTACTCGCCCCATCTGCATCCCATTTCCCATCATTTCTAATAACAAATGCCCAATAAGTCATCTGCAGCCAATTCTCTCATGAAGTCTGAGATTCAAGGACCATAGAGTAGACAGGCAACTCTTACATCAGTGATATAGGAAACTGGTGCCTCGATGAGGGACAACAACCAGTTAACTGCAAATTGACTGCTTGATTTTATCGAGCGCGCGCCTTTGGGCACTGCCAAGCCCACGCTAAGGAATTATCTCAGCTTTCTCCAAACACGCCACACAACTTCACGTCCAAATAGTTTGCCTCGCAGAACTTTGTTTAACAGCTGCGGACATGCATAAAGGCATAAACTTTTACTAATTTTTAGTTTTTAGAGAAAACTGATGTAGTCAAAACACAAAGACCTCCATTTAATTGGATTTGGGCTTAATGGTGGCCCAACATCTGGATTTGGCGTCTCCAGATAAATTGTTGCAAAATGTTAGCTCGCGGAAAATAACGAACCCAACATCAAACTCATAGCTCTTTCAGATCCATAAAACTAACATGAGATTCTGTCATCTCGAAAGGCTCTGTAGGCAATTCTGCGTTCTTCTGACTATCCTTGTGGCTTTGCTTAATAGCGGTTGTCCTCAACTCCATTTACTGGCACTGGCATGGCAAGAGGTGAAGTCGATTATGAAGGTTTGCGTTTCATTCCATCAGATGATGTCAGTGACACAGAAAAGTTGTGGTAAAACTGCAGTCACACCTAGTATTGCGAACCCAAAACAACCCTTACTTTTGTCAAAAGTCTGTGAATTTTACAATTTAAATAAAGCTTTAAGGTTTGCAAACAAACAGGGTGCTCGCAATGTAAAGACACTTTTACTGTTGTGTTTTCGGGCATTTGTCTTCCCTTTTTAACGACAAATAACAAATTTTACAAATCCGGAGTTGATTGTGAACATCTTGGCGGTGGATGTGCTGCCTTGTCAGGGCTAAAGTGACCTCTGGGGAGTGGACGAATTCTCCGCT